CGGGTAAAGAGAAGGTCTGGGCATTATTATCTGCAACAAAAACACACATTGTGCAATCTGAGGCTTTTTGAAAGTCTTCAGTTTTCTTGTTTTCTCCTTACATGTCCCTCTTCAGAAAAGGAGAAAGTAAAAGGACACTGCCCTAAAACTTATACACTTGGCCAGAAATTCAGTTTTGTTTTGACGCAGGAAGAAAATGGTTAAGATGGTTATTTATTGAAAGCTATGTTTTAAGCAAAGGCTTTTATTCATCTTTATTTTTATTTTATCTTGATTTAGGTATCACTTAACTGTCTTGTCAGTGACCGGTCCTTTTAATCAGCAGTGAGTTATAGATTAACACTAAGGCTGAAAAGGGCTTTAAGCACGTTGGGAATTTGTTATTCCCTTTAGCCTTTTCATTTCAGTGTCGATGGCTTTGTTACAGATAGAAAAACACTGGCAGGTGGAGATGCTAAAAGATCTTTTTAGTACAAGTGGAAGTGTATGACACCAATTTATGAGAATTTGAACAGATCAAACTAAAACAAGCACACTATTCTTAGTATCTGCATCGGTCAGCGTTTAATATATTTACATTCAGAAACCGTTGTCAAAGCCCGTGTGTGTGTGTGTGTGTGTGTGTGTGTGTGTGTGTGTGTGTGTGTGTGTGTGTGTGTGTGTGTGTGTGTGTCTTTTACAATGAAGTGTTTACTTTCATTCGAAGCTCTGATGATTAGTTGAGGAAATGTGGAAGCCTGCTGATGGGATTTCAGCTCTTATAAACTCTTGTGTTACATGAGACATTAAAATGTTATTTAGAGAGTTAAAACAAAAGACATTTGTCGTACACTCAGCTGTTTTTGCTGGTGAGATGCCTTTTAGTTGTTCCATTTCTAATGCGTGCAAAGGACTGAACTAATTAATTGTGCTGCTTTATCAAGCCTATCAAAGATATAGTGATATCGATAGATACATTTTTTTTTTCCCCAGTCTAATTACTGCAGGGCGGTCTGGTGTTTTAGTCTCACATGTTGCAGTTATTTAGTCTAGTTTACACAGGGACCACAGATACTTGATGTAGAGTTCATTAAAGCGTATCCACCTTTATTTTCATTCATGTTTCATTAAATCAAATCATTTTAATTCAATTGTATCAAAGTTTTCTCTTTTTTCTCTTTCCTTTTTAAGGCTTTATATACATTCGACGTATTTTCAAAAATGATGAAAACAAGAAACCCACATTAAACAATATGTAGCTGTCTGACCTGTTAATACTTTTTGCCACATTACATCTTTGGCTGATAAAACCTGAATTTTGTTACTGAACTCGTATTAGCTTTTACAAATATGCCCAGATATACATGTTTGTTCAGATTAAATCAGTTCTTAAACATATTTTCAAGATTAAAAGGCTTAAAGTGGCTGGTGAGTGTATGCAATCTTGACATCCTCCATTGTGGCCATTCTTTAACCACATGAACCCTGAACTCTCAAATAATTGCAAAGAAACTCAAGTTTTATTTTAATCCAGCTTTATAATGAAACAACCATTCACAGCACATTTAACATAAAGAACAAAAAAAAAAAATCCCAACTCTTTTCACTTCACATTCAGTGACTGAACAAGATTTGTTATCTCAGCGAGACCAAACAAGCTGCTACGTTAAAGTCACAATAAAGTCAGACTGTAAGAAAAATATTTTAAGGAAAAGTGTGGGAAGATCACTTATGAATCTTTCTGCTCTGTTGTGTGGAGGTCTGAACACCTGCACAGACATGGTAGATTTTAATGTAGCCTAAACAAGGAAACAACAACTGTAAATCGTTCTGAAAAGATCCAAAGTGACCCACACAGGGTCACAAAACACACTAGTCTGCTAAGAATTCCTCTAACTTGATTCACACAATAAAATGGTGATATTTCAGCACTAATTAAAGACTGCTTGAAATCCCATGTTGCCAAAGCAGAGACGCATATTACATGTATGTGCTATTAAATATAGTATTGTGTGTGAAATGCAAAGATGTTTAGTTTTTGATTTTGCTGACAAAGATGAATCCTGCAAACATTAACAATTTAATTATCGTTCTATTTCTGTTTTCCAATTAAAATAATATTAAATTAACACTTAAAATTTAATATAGGTGACTTGTATTAAATAGTACTGACAAGACAACACCAACCTCCCCCAAAGAAATCCAGCTAAATTTGTCTTGCATCACATTTATAGTGACTTAAGAAGCAAACCTAATTTAGATGACCCATGCAGGTTTGCAGAGCATCTTTATTATAGCAGAGCCAACTTATCAGCTATTATTAGCCATTTGCCGATAGCTCAGTGTCGGCATTTATAATGGTTGATAAATTAAAATTTAAAAAATGAAGAAGAGATGGGAGAAACGCCAGTGTTAGTAGTTCAATGCATGGTTTGTACAGGGCACGCTGCAACTCCCCTGTTGGCCAAAGGCATTTTAAATTCAACAACCAGCCGATCTGAGCAGAGTCGGGTAGAGGGTAAAGTAGATTGTTTTTAAACTGTGCATGTTATCTTAGCTAGGGAAGTCTTGTTTTTGTTTCATGTATCTGAAAGGAAAAAAAATATTGGCTGACATGTGATTTTTAAATCACCAAATAAAAGGTGTCTGTCTTAAAAATCCTATACTGATCGGTTTCTAAATGTTTATTATATTTTTTACATGTATGCAACAGGCCATTTCTCAGCATAAAAAGATAAATAACATTTTGTTTCACCACAACATTATTTCCCACTGTTTATCAAACTTGAAAGAACCAAATAATTTTCACCAAAATATTAAACGACTGTGTAGATATGAAAACAGGAAACAATGATGGTTCAAATTTTCAATATGTAGCAAAACATGTTGATTATACCCATAATTCCATTCCCACACATAGCTTTGCCCCACCAGCTAATTAACTGTTAGAAATTAAATATTTTCTAAAGGAATACAAATTGTTTTTTAAAAAAGGATTAAATTAACATGACTGATCGGTTTCTTTTTTTACAAAAAAAGGCATTGCACAACAAAGTTGCAAAATAAACATCAAACGGAGAACCATCCCTGTCCGCTCTCTTCATCTATACGAGTAGCTCTCATCATCATACTCTAGTTCAATCTCATCTTCATCCAAGAGCCCATACTTGAACTTCTTATACACCGTTCCATCTTGTGACATGTACACAATATCATCATCTTCCTCTTCTTCGTCATCGTCACCGTCAATAATTCTGTCGTTGTACTCCCCAAATGAAGAGCTGGCAGGTTGTGGTGCAGTGTTTTCCTTGGTGCTCAGTTTCTGGTACCCTCCAGCTCTGGTTTTGGGTGTCGCGGCACGGGGTTTAGACCGAGCATTGAAGATGAGAAAGAGCACTCCGCCCACAGAGAGGATGATGAGAACACAAACGAAGGCAAAGACTTTAGCTCCACTGCTCTGAGCTTCCCCCTGCAGCACCACAAAGTTGACATCCAAGATGCACTCGACTAAGAAAAAGGAGAGAGCAGACCATGAGGTTAAAGTGCACAAATCTAAAGTGTGTGTTTGGTTTAACAACTGAAAACTGTTAAATCAGGAGTGTTAAACCGGCCCGCTGGATGGCTTTGGAAAATAAATAATAATAAATAAATAAAGAGAATAAATTTTGGACGAGAGTATGTGTTCAAAAAGCTAAGAGAGGGATTTTCACTGAAAAGATCACACATGCTGATCGTAGAGGTGTGTTTCCTGGAAGTTTGTGTCTCAGTGTGACTCCTCATTTACATTGTGATGACTTGCAGTTGCAGCACTCCCTGGGGATTTGTTGTTCTTTGTGGCGTATCTCATTTCCACAACAGGTCAAGCAGCGGCCATCATCAGAGAGGAGTTGGCCCGCGTGGCACATGGTGCAGTTCCATATGCCGGGACCTCGGCAGCCCAAACAAGACGGGTGGCACGCTCTGCACTTGAGTTTCTCGCTCTTTGACTTTGAGTCCTGAAGAAGAAAACATAGACTGAATCTGTGGGTTCACACATTTGGTCAGCTCTGGCAATTTGCTGCGTATGATAAGTGTAAGATTAATGAGTGATTTGAACATAAACAAAAACACTTGCTAAATAAAAAAAAACACAAGAGATCTGTCACCTCTGATGCATCGTAGTAGCCTATTGAACACTTGGCGGTACACATGGTAGCCATCAACGTGTAGCCAAAATAACAGGACTTACAGGCTAAAGCGCTGTTGTCTGAGAGGAGAGAGGCGACAGATAAGAGCAGTTACAATAGGCATTCATCTTTGCTACAGTTTAAGATTAGATTTAATGGGAAAATCCATTTATTCCATGTTCCAGAAAAATTCTTCTCTATTTAATTTAGTATATATATTTTTTTTTATCTCAGCTACCCCTCAGCCTCCTAATAGAAACACATATGGTTTAAATTTTAAAATCATAGGTCACATCTTTTTCAAGTTCTGGTTTTTATAAGAGTTTCAGAAAACTTGACCTTTGATGTCATCAAGGTCATCAAGATTCTAACTTAAGATTTTTAGCAGATGTAGAATTTTCACCAATTTGAAAATCTTACGTGTAGTTCTCGACTTATCGAGTTTACAAAGTTCGGTGTCCACACGGCTCAATGGGGCTCAATTTCCCATCAGCCTTGAGGGGTAAAAATGAGCTACAATGCAGATAAGAATAAATAAATAGACATAACAGGCTCCCCGTACCGTTGCAGGTCTTGCAGGTAGGGTGACACTTGTGACAGCTCATGGAATGACTGACTTGGTAGTATCCTGGAGGGCAGCTCTGCAGGCACTGCCCCCACTGCTTCATGTAGACATAGCCCTTTCTGCAGCTCAGACAGTTTCCGCTACCACCACCCTGACACTGGCTACAGGACGGGTCACAGCGCTCACACACCATGGTGGCTGTGTTGCCAAAGTGACTGAGAAAGAGAAAGAGGATATCTGCTTACTTCATGGTGTTTTTTTTATTAAAGGATGTGAGACTACTCCTGAGATTTGCGAGCACGTCTTTGTTTTTTTGCCTGACCCCTCTGAGCAGGTTTCGACGCAGGTCTCTCCCTGCTTGAAGAATCCAGGTTTACAGGTGACACACTCCACACTGTGGTGGCCAGTACACGTCTTACAGCTGAAGTGGCAGCGCCCACACAAGCGCTCATCCTGGTCCTTAACGTAGTAACCCTCAGGACACTGCGGCACGCATGTGTTGTCTGATTGACACAGGCACAGAGTCAGCATTTCAAAAGGAAAAGGACAAGCATACATTAAATAATATGAGCTACCGTACATCTTTTTTTCCTACCTAGTAAGAAGTGTGGGCTGTTACAGCTTAAGCAGTGGTCTTTGCCTGGCCCATTACAACCATGGCAGTGTTTATGGCACTGTTGACACTTCCCATTCTGGTCCTTGTATGAGCTCGGGGAGCATTCACTGTACCACACACAATGTCCAGTGGCATCCTTTTGCCTGCCTTCAGCACAGGTGAGGCAGGATGTAGGCTCAGAGCCTGAGCAGGTCAGACATGAACTGGGACAATCTGGGGAAATATGAAGCCATTAGACAAAGCCAACTAGAATCTGAGTATAAATGTCCTGTAACAACTCCACTGATTCATTTTCATTCTCATTGTGTGGTCATGTTAAGTTTCCACCTTCCTACCTTTGCATTCTTTGCTGGTCTCATCATGATACGTTTGGCTGGGACACTCAGAAAGACATTCTCCACTGTAACGTACATTTTTGTCACTTTGACATAGAGTGCAGTCATCTATGTCGGGTCCATCACACAAAGCACAATCATCATGACAACGCACACACTCCTGCTGGCTCATACTGGCAAAGTAGCCATCAGGACAATCACCCACACACTGATCATCATGGAGAAAGTAGTAAGGTGCACAGTCTGGGAAGAAGGCGAGGAGATGGCAAAATCATTTTTTTGTGATTTCCAAAGTCTAAGTATTTATAATTAAAAGCAAAGGATTCAGCTTTTTGTTGTTATTTCATTTCCTCACTTCCTGACCCTCTGCAGCTATTGAATTTAGGTTTCAGGCCTGAATTATTAGCAGTCAAGGCAGCAGCGACAGAGCTCTCTGCATTTCCTGTCTATCCCTCTTCTGCACCCCTTCCTCATCTCCCTTATCTGTTCAGCTAGTATTGCCTTTCAAAACAGCTCTTTTCCACATCTTCATCTTCCATTCCTCTCTGCTTCACTGTTCCACCGATCATACTTACTCTTGCACAGGCCATACTGATTGCACTCAGTGCAGTGAGCTGGACAGTGATAGCATTCTGTATCATTGGCATAATAACCCTCAGGACATTGGAGCACGCAGGAGTTGTTGAGCAGCAAGTACGGCCTCTCACAGCTCAGACAGTGAAAGATACTTTTCACACAGGATCCACACCCTGTGCTACATGGCAGGCATTTGAGATCTTTAGGAATCCCTCTGAGAAGCAAGGCAGAGAGATAAGAACAAGATGTTACGGACGTTTTACATTTGTGTGAGTTCAGCAGGGAAAGAAGATGAAACTGAATGAGCACCTCTGACACTCCACCACACACTTCCTGTTTTCCATATAAAGTCCACTGTGACACTGCTGGCACAAATTGGCAGTCTGGCACATGACACAGCCTTCTGAGCACTCCTCACACTGGCCAGACTCCACGTTGGCAAACATGCCAGAAGGACAGTGAGCCACGCAAGTGTGTCGAGCAGTCAAAAAATGGTCTAAAAGAAAAACAACACAAACCACATCACTCATTTAAATTTAAATGATATTGTCAGTGATTAACATCTTTTGGCATTTGCTGTATTTGATATTGTTCCATAGGATATATGAAAAACATCATGGTTGATGAAATGATTTATCACCTGTTGATGGAAAAGCATGGGTTCTGATAGAACTCAAGCTAAAGTATGTTCTAGTTTCACAGGCAGGCGAACACAGCATACACCTGCTTACCTGGGTGGCAGGTGGTGCAGTTCTCCTTCCCTCCACCAAGGCAAGTCTTACAGGAGGAGTGGCACGTCTCACGTTTGTACTGAGCTGTCGAAGAAAAGAAAATGGGAAGTGTTTTTTTGTTTTTTTTTTTAAAAAAGGAATGACATACAAGTGACAGAAAAAAATAAAAGGCCTTTTAAATATGTAAATGCCCCAAAAAATGAAGGCTCTGCTACTGAGTACAATAGAAACATGACTTTCAGTTTCTCCAGCTTCATTTAAGTTTGATGTTTTAGTATAAGAACACTATAGAAGTAAACTCCTAATTTAGTACAATTAAACAAATATGTGAAACTCCTAATTTTACACAGAACATGTAAAACAATACGAGTCTATCACCAATCCACAGGATGCTAGATGGATCGTGCTGATGGCAGTTAGAACTGAGGTCAAATGATCATTTACTGTACTTTTTTTGAAGTGTTTCTCAAGGGAAGAGGCACGCTGGCTTCCCTCTAAACACTCTCCGTTCCTCAGCATAAACCCGTCCTCGCAGGAGTCACAGCCATTGTATCGTGGCCCTCTGCAGCTACGACAGCTGCGGTGACAAGGCTCGCACTGCCGGCTTTTTTCATTCACAAAGGAACCTTCTTCACAACGATCCACACACTCGCCATCTAAACACACAAAGAAAATGTGTAATGCATATAATGAAAAATGTCACATGTGCAGATGCGTCTAGGTTTTTGATGCTTTTGGTATTTTATTGTTGTTGGGTTTTTTTGCCTGGTATTTGGTACATAAATAAAACTGAAGTAAAAAAAAATTGAATTGGATTTGTTTTGTGCATTCGTGTAAGTTTTCCTTGTAAATCTTGACTGCTTTGTCATGCTGGCTTGTCAGGAGACAAATGTTTAGTGCCTGCTTTCCTTGTCGGTGCATGAAAATCTCAGTCGAACTTGGTCAGAATTTAGCCATTAAAAATTATGACTCTGTGCCATTAAGAATTAAGGCAGTTCTGAAAGAAAAAGGAGGATCCAACCACTACTAGCATGCTATATCTAATAAAGTGGCCAGTGAGTGTATATTCTTAAAACACAAACATAAAGCACCATTTCTGGTTTTCAGTTCCTCACTTTGTCTACCAAATGTAGTTACATATTATTCCATCGGCAGTTTATTATCTGATATTTTTGCTACACACCAAATAAGAAATGTTTCAAATGTTACCGGAGACATAAAATCCGTCTTCACACCAGTAGCACTGGGACTGGTCACAGATTACACATTGCTTATCTTCACATGGAGCGCACGCCATGGCATCTTCCACACTGTAGGTCCGATAAGGACATGACCGATGGCACTCGCTTCCTAATCTGGCAGACAAAAAGAGTCATTATAAGATGAGGACACACTGTGTGACCGTGGAGGAGGATCTTAATGACTTACTCAACTGAGGAGACTTACTGGTAGTAACCTTCTTCACATTTAAGGCAAACAGTTTCCTGCTCCTGATCTCCCAAATCATCTGTGGTGAAAAGCAGAAATTGAACCACACAAGAAAAAAGGGTAAAAAAAAACAAAAAAACTGCCTTAGTATGCATTTCTGAAATTCTTGTTTAAATCTAATTTAAATATGATGATTTTTAAACAAGTGAGGTGAGGAACCAGTGAAGCAGGTAGTAACTGTTCGAATGCAGTTTCTTTAGACAGCAGCAGGAGGCACTCTGACAACACATATGAAATGTGTTCAGCTCAGCAGAGAAATGAATGGCATGCTCAGATCGATCATAAGCCGAGTGTGATCAATTTTAAAGCAAGAAAGAGACCTAATCCACAAAGCAAATGTAAAAGTCAGCGAGTCTCCGTGCTCACTTTGGTTCCAATCTTTAGGATCAGTGCATTTCTCTCATCCCCAATAATTGCAAGTGTGTGATTTTCTGTTTGTCAAGCTTGCACTGCAGGTGTACTTCTGCTTAAAACACACACACACACACACACACACACACAAAATGCATAATGTGAGTGACGGGTTATGAATTTTTTTTCCCTGTTTTCGTTAGACCAGGAAACATATGGAGGGGATATTAATAAGTAATTCAGGTGAGCGTGTGACTGTTTTTCTACACGCAGTAAAGGAAGAAACTTGTTTTCTTGCAAACTAATTAATTTGTGCTGCCACTCAAAACCATCCAACTGGTAAGTGGGAAAGAGTCACGCTGTCATCCCTTCGTCCAACAATGTCAAAACATCTCAAAGGACAGAGAGAGCATGGGGGTGGGCTTTTAAAACCCTGCATCTGCAGACTTTCCCTTGGGACCTTCATCCTCTCCAGAAAAAGCCTCTGCCGACCCCCTCTACACCCCCTTTCCTCTCCCTGCTTCTCTCCAGCACCCGCAACTTAGCACTGCACTGGTTTGCACTTCAATGCAGTCGACAAGCCACTACCTGTGAAAGCAATTACTCATACAGAGAGAGACTGAGAGAAAGGAAAGGTGGGAGGGACGGAGGTATATAGAAGAGGAGACAGCAAGCGAGGAGCCGGAAATCATGCCTCCAGGCTGTGTCTGTGTGTGAGAGAGGGAGAGAGAGAGAATAGCGCCCGCATAAATATTAACTGTGCACGCCAGGGGAGGGGGGATTTCAACAGAATTTAAAACCTGTACGCACATCCTGAACTATTCACTTGTGGAATGTGGACGCACTCACACATATTACGCAAGCAACAATCACACTTTAAAGCAAAAGATTAGGTCAAAGTTATACATGCTCAGGAGGGGGAATGGCTGAACTCGTTTTTAACGTCAACAAACACAAATCATCAATTCAGCAAGAGAAACTGAGAAAGTGTGTTTATGAAAAACTCCTTGATATTCCTGATACAAAGAGACAAGCATAGAAATGAGATGCACTGCATTAAAAGGGCTGAACTCTGGGGGTGAAACCGAGCTTTGGCATGCAAACAGCCTCTGAGCAAGAGGTTTAACTCTTTATTACTCCTTTTTGTAATGGACGGGAAGAGGTCAACGGTAGCTGCGATTCCTGAAAAATTAGTAAACAAATGGAAATTCATTAATTATTTAAGCCATCCTCACTTGTATCAAATGGAGTGTGACACGAACAGCCATGTAGAGATGTTATGAGGAATGAAAATAAGGATGGGACCCAGACAGACAGAAAAGCCTTTTTTTTTTATTTAATGTTGGAAAAAATACTGCAGTACACGCCCTATGTGATAAAATAAGCAAGATGAAGGTCTCGAGTCCCAGGTAAAGGACAAAATACGGCGATTTCATCAGATCACACCCAGGTGCACAAGAAGCACGCATCAGTGCCATTACCCAGAACCAAAAGCTTGACTAATCCAATTGTAAAATATTTTCAAACCTCTCGCCACTGATTACAAATCGTAGTAATCTAAGAGGATTACAGGACATAAAGCTGATGTCGAGTCAAAAAAGACGCGTTGAATTTATAAGATGGTGAAGCTAGGACTGAGAAACAGCTGCTGCACCTTATCACACACTGTCAGGCATGAATTCATTGACTGATCTCATCCAATGTTACAAACCTCGAGCCTACAGTTTCTTAATCTCTCAGGCAAATGAAAACAAAATCCAATGCCAAGCGGTTAGGAATTTGGTTTCTTATAAAACACAATAGTGCATGATTTAATCCCCTCGTATATCTATTCATAATTATGATTTAAGGCTTAATATCATACACCCAAACCTGACAGCCAAAAGTCCTCCACAAGCAGTATTCAGATTAAGCTGCATTCCCCACGCTGACACACAGAGGATGACCTCTGGCACGAGTATGAGCACACACACACACACACACACGTCAGATGACAGAAAACGACACGGTTTCGTCTTTACTCTGGCCTGTGGCATCACATCACACAGCCAATCATCTCAAATCTCTAATGCACTGACTGACTTGTTTGGCTTGCAGAATTGCGATTGTTACGACTGGGTGGGTGGCAAGAGCGAAACTGAAGAAATGTATTCCACCCAGAGTGCATAATGACATAATAACAGTGAGCCTCCACCTCAGACTAGTTCAGCTCCACAATAACAATTTTCCACGGTATGTTGATAATTACCCCTCAGCCCTTTCGCCTTAACGTGACTTGTACCGATAGTGCTCCACAAATCTCATCCACACTAAGTCTATATGGTTTTCCCAGTAAGGGAAAGTGCTCAGAGATTTAAGAGCGCCTGACTTTTTCATAAATTGACTCAGTTGTTGGGGGCTCCTCTAAGTAAATTGATGTACCTGCAGTAATGGATAGCCTACAGCAGAGCGTGAGGTGCAACTAAAATCAATGGCAACGTCATTAAATGCAGCGGCGATGCCTCGCAACTATCCTTTCAAACACGTTTAGAGAGTATCCCTCTTTAGTAGGTGTCATGTTTGCGCTTTCACAAATGTATCTCACCGATGAGCAGGTTGGCTCATGATTATTAATTCATGATTTTGTGCAGCGCCCTGTGACTGCCTCTGCCTCTTATTTTCTAGGGCCTGGTTTTGTTTATGCAGGTCGGTTGATGGAGAAGGTTGGATCAGCCAGACGATGGAAAGAAAAAATGCTTACTGTGTTTACACTGTGCGCAGCCGTCATCACAGAGAAGACACTTTTCATCCTCTGCATCCGAGGCTTCACCTGATGAACACAAGGGGACACAAATTAATAAGATTATTAATTATAAGGACATAAAGGCAGAGATATCACATACAGCACAGCTAACGAACCCCGGCAAGGTCCTCAGCCTGTCTGTGCAGGTCTGCCTTCCACATAAGATCAGCATCTCGCCTTATTCTCCAACTCATAAACTTTATCTCCTCACTTACACACTGCCATCATTCCTCCGTCTCAGATTCACTGTTGTGAAATTTTAAGTACCGAACTCCACCACTCCTCCTTATCTCAAACGCAGTATCTCAAAAAATATAACATCTCACTCAACAATTTCAGCTCTTACTCAATACTCGATTTGCTGGCATCCGCATTTGATCTCCCACGATGAGATAAAGTGCAACGGGTTCGTCCTTCTCAATATTTTCAACTTTAAGAAAACATTTGGCAAGTGTTTATTGTGCTGAACAGATCGGGAACAGAAAGTAGATGTAAGAACACATCAGCTCACATCAGCTCTGTGCCGATGAACGAAGTTAAGACAAGTCTGATTGTATTACTCTACTAGGGGATCAGTTTTTATAGAGCTTTTTGCTACAAAAATAACTGCTTCACTGAATAAACTGACGGAAGTATTACTATACTTCAGTCGGGACCAACATTTGTTCTAATTTATATTTGGCAGTGCAGCTTTGTTCCAGAGACTAAGGCTCATTTATGAACAGAGAAGGCTTCAATTACAACAGATATGAGACAGATACAGTCAAACACAGCATGAAAAGGAGGAAGGGGGTTGCAAAGCTGCTTGCAAATGTAAAATCCTCGCTTTAAAACCTGCTCAGCTGAGTTGTAGCTTGTTGAAGTTGTCTTTTGGAGACCATTTTCCTTTTTATGTATTCTTTAAAATACGGCTACACGTGTTCTCACAGATTTGTATATATTGTTTTATTACAAATTATATTATTAATGCACTTTTTCTTTATAGAAGGTGACCTACTACCTGCACATTCTGTACCGGCGTATCTCACCTGTGCTGCAATGCAGTGGGATGCAGTGGCCATTTCTGAGCTTGTGTCCTGGGCTGCATTGGAGGCAGCGATCTGTTTCAGTGCAGATGATGCAGTGTGCCGGACACATGTCACAGCGTCTCCCTTCTGAGCCTTCAAACTGGAACAACCCCTCTGGGCAGACATCCAGGCACTGACCCTGAAAGAGGTACCTGGCCACGCCAAATATATCTGAGGAAGAGCAAAAACAGCAAAAGTTTTAGGAAAAGAAATCTGAAGAAGAAGGAGTGCTGAAAACAGCTTTGAGGACATACTCAGACACAGAGTCATACACAGGTTAGGACAAAGCCGTTTTACTGCAGGCGTTTAAAGGAAGGGTACATGGATGTTTTGGTATACCGCAAGGACATTTGGCACAGCCAAATGGGAGCTTCTCCTGTAAAATGTATGGAAGCCAGGAAAGATGATAAAATAACCCAAATTCATAGGCGGCCCAATTATTTATTCACACAGGTTTAGAGACCAGTCAACAACCCCTTTGCAAATCTACATTTTTTGTTGGCATAAATATTTATGTAAACAATAATAATAAGCTTTTTACAACATTTAACACATTTTGTTTGATCCTTAAAAAGTGTTTTAAACCTGCTGGACATTCAAATGAAACAATTTATTGGCTTTAAATCAGGACACGTGCTTTTCAAAGTCAAATATTTTTTTAAACTATAAATGCAATGATATTTAAATGTCAACATTAACCCAGTTTTTCACAGTTAGTCAGCTAAACACCCTCAGCCTGCCACTCTGTATTTGCTTTCACTGTAATTACTTTTTTTTAAAAAAAAAAAAAATCTGTGTCTGGCTGTAATTTCATACATGTCCGGGCTTGTCCGCGTGCGTGTCAACATTTTTAAACTGACACTTTAGTATTTTGCTTGTTTCATCCATCTGTATCTTCGCTACTCGTAGTAGTGACGAGCAGGGGCGTCGAACATGACTTTCAAAGACCTGTCCTCTCAGTACGGAGCTGTATGCATGTGAGTGTGACTGGCCAAGATAACAGAGGTTGTTTTGAGAGAGGAATGACAAGGGCAGAGGCAGATAGAGGGTCTGTTCAAACTATTATTGTTATGTCTCACTGAGCCTCAGACAGACCGGCAATTAAATGGAACCACATTTGCAAACAGTCTGACAAGCTTGCCGGCTAATTGAGAGTGTATGCACATGTGAAGGTGACAGAGAGTGAGAGTGAGAGTGTGTGTGTGTGAGAGAGAGAGAGAAAGAGAGAAAGAAAAATCTGGTGTTAATCTTCTTTTGGCTGTCTGGTATCTCAAAGTGAGTGCGTGAGTGGGGGCTAGGTGTGTGAGTAACACAATCTCCCCAGTGTAAATACATTCATTCAAACAGCCATAATACCTCCTGAAATAGTGTGATAAAGACAGTTATTACTACCATCCTCAGGTTGATATTTCTTCAGCTGTGGTTGCCTAATGACGTCCGGATTTTATAACTGCTGTTATGAGGGGAGGAAAAAGGCTTTTTGATAGACTGATTGGCTGCACAAGATCAGAAAACATGCAGTTTTAGAGGAAGTAAAAGTAGTCATTAAATACAGACCTTTTTTTTTTTTTTGACTGATCTGAAAAACTGACCAAAGTGCAGTGACCTCTAAAGCACACAAATGACTAATATATGTTTTATCCACATCTATCAGCAGACCTTGGGTGACCTGCTGCATTAATTAGGTTCACTCACTTTTGGAGGATTTATTGATGGAGTCTGGCACAAATGAGTCTTTGTGTGAACCAAAGGATACTATGAAGAGGCCCGATTGGATGGATGGATGGGCCTGATGGATAGATTTGCAGCTAAACCTTTGCAAAAACTTGCGTCAGTTCAAAGAGTACAGCTTTTATGTGGCAGCGAAGAAATAAAGGACGTTTTTATCTGCACTAACTGGTGCTGCATTTCCCTGAAAGCTAACTCAATGCACTTGTGATTGATGTTTATGTTTTCTAGGGGCATTGATGTATATTTTAAATATACCTGTGTCACAGGTGGTGCAGCTATGAGCTCCCTCATCGGTACACTCCTGACAGGTGTGGTGACAAAGGCGGCATTGTCTTCCCACGGCATAACGGCCCTTCTGACAGCGGGTGTCACAGCGTCCTTCATCAAAGAACCTGCAGGTGGAACAAAATTAGGCCCAGCTACTGTATATAATATCCATATTTATAGTGTAACAAGTTGCTGCACTTGCATGACAAGTTGACAAGTTTAAGATGAAGATTTCACAAATTAAAACAGGTTAATCCAAACCCACTGGAACTTTTTTTTTTTTAGGTTTGTGTAATTATTTTAGCTCCTTCCTTTGGTGGGTTGGCTCAATTGTCTTCTTTTCAGTCAACTGTAAATCTTTTCAGTATACACTACAGATGTTTGTGTGTCAGTGGCTGTCACCGTGTTGCAGGGCAGCTGGTGCAGTCATCTCTCTCTGGACCCTTGCACCGCAGACAGGAAGGATCACACGGGTGGAACTTGTTGTGTTTACTCAAGTACTCTTCTGCCGATAGAGAGCCACAGAAAACAGCATCACCGCACGTTCTGCCTCACTTATCTGCCTCTATTTGACTCGCTTCATACTTACCTTGCTTCCTTGTCGTATCACTTGAGCGATTTGATTTGATGCTTTGATGTATCCTAGTTGCACCAATTAACAGCCAATTGCTTTTGTTTTCATTTCATTACATTTTTCTCTGACTTCTCCTGCACAGAAACAGCTGTATATCTGCTTTTCTTTATCTTGCAAATATATTTCACACATCTTTTTCTGCTAAAAAACTAAGGTGTTAAAATGTCATTTACCAAGTACTGATCTGATCATTTCTCATCTATTTAAAGAGAAGCTGTTGTCTTATGGGAAAGGACAACAGTGGTGCAGTAGTTAGCACTTTCACCTCATAAAGACTCTTGGTTTGAACCTCCCTGAGGCCTTTCTGTGTGGAGCTTGCGTGATCTCCCAGTACACGCGTGGGTTTTCTCTGGGCGCTCCAGTTTCTTTCCACAGTCCAAAGACTTGCATGTTAGGTTCATTAACGATTCTAAATTGGCCGTCGTGTCGATGTGAGCGCTTCAGTGCGTTGAATAAGGGGCTGCCTGAATGTGGATTGTATTGTAAAGCCTCGTGTGTGCTCAGGATGAGTAGAGAAAGAGCAATATAAATGCCACTCAGCTTCCATTTCAGTCGTGACTACAAATTTTAAGCACTTCTAGTTCGCTGCACAGCGTTTCTGCACGAGTTCCCCACTTTGTGTGTTGACTTTGCACGTTTCCTCGCTCACATTTGGGTTTGTTCATTATCCAAAAGAGTCACAGTTTAAGTCAGCAGTCGTACCCAGTGTAGCGTTTGTCTAATTAAAGTCGTCTCTGAGGGGAAACGACGACTTTTCACGCCATGAACAGGAAGAGCCAAGATAATATACAAAGTCTTAAAGGAAGACATCATCTCTAATCACCAGCATCTGTAGCCAGGTAACGGCAATATTTACAACCTCTTGCCATAGAAGTGAGCTTGCTTATTAGAGTGGAAATGCGACAGAGGCATCTGCTATATCATAAGGAAACATCCTTCCCGCAGCCCATTAACCACATCTTCCACTGATGAACGTGTTGAAAATGTGCGTAGGTTCTTGAAGGCCGGAAAGTTTTTCTTACAAAACAGATTACTGACTGGAAATTCAGCTTCAGGCGCCAGAAACCTCAACACCTGGCAAAGCAATCGTTGAGTCACTGGATCCCACTCCAGGTAGTTCTTATTGTAAATGTAAAATTAATAAGTGGTGCTTTTCTTTCTCAGGAATGAATACCTAAGCTTTACCCACAGATGAAATGTTTGTAAGTGTTTGTGCCCAAGATTAAGAGGAGAACAAAACTTTACCAAAAAAAAAAAAAAAATCAACCTTGAAAACAATATTGTCTCCTCTTCTACTTTTGTATTACACAAAGGTGACAGACACTGGTTCAGGCGTAAAGATGGATGCTGTGTGTGTTTGTGTGTGAGCAGCCTTCAAGGCATCGGTGGGGTTTGTCTGTGCTCTCTGGCTTTCTGTGAAAAGCTCAATTGTTCCTTTCAAAACAAAAGAGCCTCTTTGTGTACAAACACAACAGGCGGTGGCTTCCCATTCAGTAGAGCTCTGCTGAAACGATTCAAGCAGCCCCCGAATACACGCCGTCACTCTTACTCACACACACAAATTGTCTCCCTGTCTTTATGTTTGTCTCCCCTTCACTCACAAACAAACAGAGCCAAGTTCTCAAGGGACAGAAAGCTGCACAACTCCACTCAGCAAAAGCAAACTTTGGACTCCCACCGCCAGACAGGAGAAAAATGGAGCGGAGAAGAAAGGGAGCCTGTCACTCAGGGGAGTAAAACTTTTCCTCTGTTCTGGACTCGGCTGACCTTGTGAGGACAGTGACACTCTACTTTGTAAGGAGAGACAGAGAGCGTGCGCTCTGTTGGCAGGTGTCACACCGACGTCTAACACACCTGATCGTGAATCCCGATTCCTTTCCCCTCTTTCACCTGCTGGTCCCTGCGCCCACTCACTCTAAGAAGGTTTCAAGATATATTTATTCTTTTCAATCCACCCAAGTGGTTATTGAATACATTAGGTGTTTATTAGCCACAGTGGTTATTTAATATTGTGTATTTATCACCACAAGGTACCCTTCTTAGTGTTTCATACCCCAAGTGACGTATTTGGGATGCTGAACTCACAAAAACCAGAGGAAAAAGAAAAACAATAAAAACAATAACATAATAAAATAATAATGTAAGACATCATTTGAGGGTATATCTCAGACTCCTGAAGACTCTTGTTTATATCAGCTACTATGAAGTTATCATGTTGCTTAGCACCCACCTACTAACAGGCTAAAAAGACCCCTTTTAGCATTTATGCAGATATACCTTTGTACCATCATTTCATTTTCACAGTATTTTTCTTTAAATAAATTCTTATTCATTTACATAAACAACACCTATCACTGCTTTTTCTCAATGTGATTATATTTTATTTACCATCACGAGCAGGCCGAACAGTCCTGCATCATGCCTATGTGCTAGTTTATATAAAGGATGCTGACGCTCTTCTTTACTATTATGAAAAAAATGTTTGATTGCTGGAAACTAAAGAGTTTCCCGAACTGTCCTATCAGTCAGACACCTAAAATTATTTTATGCACAGCAGGAGCAAAACCAAATCTAGTTGCAGTGGGGTGCAACTAAAAAAAAACAACCTAATTTTGATAATGAATATACAACAGCCACACAAGTGTCAGAAGACTGCATCCTGGCACTGAAATGTTTCCTGAAAGGCTGATATTAAACAGTGATTAGTATTTAATGGGACATTTAACCTGAAAATATTATTATTTTATTGTTCTGTTTATTTTTATCCTGCCGCTGAACTAATTTCCCCTTGTGGGACAATAAAGAAATTGAATTGAATTGAACATTATTGTAGTACTACATATCCCTGCAGAATGTGTTGAGGTGCCCAGTTTTGTAGATGTAGATACATCTAAACGGCACTCATTTACTACTTTGTGATTAAGTTTCATTTAAAGTCTCTAAAACTCCTCATTTCAAACTGTTCGATGCAAGAACGATGCTAAATAAGGTTTGTAGATTTCTTCATTCTCTGAGTGACAATTACTAGAAAGAGGCACTGTAGCTGCTTTGGTCCTCACAAGCCCACAAACGTCATTTATTCATGTATCCAAACTACTACTTTTTTTCTTCACCACTTATCCACTTGGGGGTTGTGACAGAGCTTGGAGACTATCTTGGTTGTAAACCTTGGACAGGTTTAACACAGAGACAGACATGTATTCATTCGTACTCCTAGATTTAGACTCAACTAACGTGCTAATGGAGAAACCCCACATGTCTGCAGGATCCAGCCGGCCAGTGGATTCAAACCCCAGACCCTCTTACTGTGAGGTATCAGTCCAAACCACCACATATCTGCATCGTCCCATACAGCTTCATATTTTTGCTATTATTGGCTGCTTTGTGACAAACATTCTACATTCATAAATTTAATGTAATACATGTAAAAGTTAAATCCAAAGATGTTAAATGAACCTTGCACCCAAAAACACACACTGTTGACCAGTTTCAGCTTCCACCTAATTGTAATTAAGCGCACATATCTCCCTTTAAGAGCTGCGCCTGTGGCATGTGCAACATTCACTTAATCAATGCGATTGAGTGCCGAAAAACGAAATCAAGGATCTGAATTTCAATGATGTTTTTGCCTTTCATGAATTTGTAAAACATAACTCAATAGAGTGAAAACAGGGAAACTTAATGACTTGGAAAGTGAGCAAACAAAAATGCTAATGAATGAAATAATACTGATTAATACACCCTCAAAATAATTAATGGAACTGAAAGGAAAAAAAAAAAACATGAACAGATTAAACATTTTAATAAGAACACTTAAGTAAAAAAAAAGAAAAAAAAAGATTTTCAAAACTAGGACTTTGAGTAACATTAATAATGCATTGTCACAGATATGTCACAGGTACACAATAAAAACAGCTTTTATATGAGGGCTGGGTATGTGTGTGTGTCTTCTACCACACACACGTGCACACGAACACGCACACATACACACGTGTCATCTTAAACAATGACCAAGATTAAGTTTTTGTTAAACAAAACAGGGGATTCATCAATCTTTATTACAAATCATCAAGAACCATAACCAGATAACGGTACAACAATTTATCTAATACTGTAAATGCTCAAGCTGCGGGTGCGAGAACCCACACAAAATAACAATCTTAAACATTTTTTTTAATATTTTTTACTTTTTATTGTTTCGCTGTTCTTTATTAGAAGCCAGCACCTCCAGGACAACCCTTTGAGTTCGATCAGGTAAAGTTCAGGGACAGGAGGAGAAACCGGGCACCTGACGTCTGTCGGCCTTGTCGCACGCGCGATGCAATTTGAATTTCTAACACAATGGATTCTGTCTAAACAGAAAGTAATAATAATAATTTGATTGCATTATGTTTGTTTTAGGCTTTTCCCCCCCTTGGATTAACTGGCCAAAAGTTCTGCTGCCAAAAAATAAAATAAAGACTTTGAACATGAATTTTCAGAGTAAAACCCATCCCAGCACCCCGCCGTTTCGCTCAGCTGTCGCAGAGCTTTACCTGCCGATGAAACGTGATAACAGCATTTTTCTGCTTCAATCGCTGACCCCACCGTGGTCAGAGTTTAGAGCAGTATTTCAGCTTGATATGCTTTGCCATAATAATGGGATGACGAAAAGTTTGGACTTCTAAAACTCTATGTTATTTGATAACAGTAACATGTAGGGGATGCACCGATACACATACCCTTTTGTTTGTGTGGAAAATATAACCAACATGTAGTAGAATTTCAGTTCCCTTTAATGAATAAACTTCAATTACTTTAATCCAGTGACAACAAAAATGACGGAGGCTTAAATCGTTTAATCACAGAGACGGATGGAATCGATACTCGGTTTGGGGGGGAAACAAAAAAAGTTTAGTATCTATAATCATCATTTTGTGTGAAAAATTTGCATCGGTACATCCCTAGTACCACAAAATTACTATAACTCACTGCAGAAGCTCTGGAAGGAATGACTATTGACTCGTCCTGTAGTACCTCTTGATGGATCAATGCTGTCTGGGCTTACATCAAGAATTAATGGCATTCTCCGAGACCCAGTAAAGACAAACGCACACGCTCTTCAATGGGTAACTTTACGTTTTAAGTAAATGAAATGGGGTGATTCTGGTCAGCGACATGCATCCGCCTTGTATACAGTGAATTCAAGTGGTGCACAGATTAAGTGTCTGCATAGTGTGTGTGTGTGTGTGTGTGTGTGTGTGTGTGAGGGGGTATGGACGCATTTGTGTGCCGTGTGTGTGTGTATATTAAAATGTGTGTAAATTTGTCTTCTCGCACAGCCAAAGTCAGCCCAGACACACATTATTTTCACATTACTGCGTGAGCTTGGTTTTTACTTTTTTCTTTTTGTCGTCCCCCCTCTTTGACGTATATTTACAGGCATAAAAACCACGACTTTTCCTACTGTATGTTCGCTTTCCATCTGTTTATCATTAACACTGGAAAGAGAGGAGGAAGAGGAGCCAGAATAAAAATGCACACAGACGTATTTGAAGATTCACAGGCTGAGCGGCTCCTGCATTTTAGCTATAATTCCTATACTGGCAACAAAAAAAACAAAAAAAAAGAAGAAAGGAAAAAAAAAGGAGGTTCAATTATTTTGGCATCAATGCTTTGGTCACAAAATACCGACACTTATTCTTTTGTTTGTTTTCGCTTATGTTTTCATTTGCTCATTTGTTCTTGAAGTAAGTCCCAGTCGTATTACGCCCTGACCTCGTGTGTGTCCCAGTACAGAAAAAAAGGTAGGTTTGTTGTAGTCCTGTCATCGCACCTCCGATGCAGTCCCTTTAAAAGAGGCACAGATTCTCTTATAAATTATGTGACTGTGAATGAGTGGGCAGGGGGTCTGAAGAGGAGTGGGGTGCCCCCTGTGCCCCCCTCCCCCCGCATCCCCCCCTGCACTCCCTTTAACACCCAGCAACTACGTCCCATCACCCCTTTTGTGAGCATGTTCTGCAGCACAGTTGTTGCAGCACTTTCCTCTGGCAGAGATTGTTCTTTTTAACGAGCACGCAGAAGCTGCCTTCCGCCCAAGATTCTTCATTTGCTTTCCACAGAGCAGGAAGAGGAGATAAAGAGGTGGGGGGGTGGTTGGGGGAGGGTAGTGGGGATGGAGAGGGGAGAAAGGAGACACACACACACAGATACACAAGAAGGGCAGAACCATTTGTGATGGTTTAGAGCCGTGTGATTGGTCAGGAGACAGGGTTCAGATGACAGGAAGAGGTTTTTGTTTGTTTGTTTGTTTGTTTTATCCAATCACAGGTGATGTTCATCGAGGAGGAAAATTATTGCAGTCCGGTGGAGTGATTTCAATCCATGTCAGGAGAAGGGAATCAGATTCAGGAAGGAAAAAAAGAGAGAAAAGAGAGACAGAGAAAGAGAAAACAAAACAAACGTCACACAATTAGAAAATTGAAGATTTTTGAAATTCACAACGTGGTTTCATTTTGCACAACAACAAAAAAAAAGGGGGACAACAAGTGGACCGCCAGTCTGTAAATCCTGTGAGCCAATTCTTTCACAACTCAACAGCAGTTCACATCTGAGCTGCAAATCAAAACATCACCAGTAAGAAGCTGGAGCGGAGGGTGGGGGTTTAGGAAGACAGGAAACAGACTGAGTGTGCACTTAAAGTCCTCATCATTAACAGAAAGGTCACGCTGTAAAGATATTTTATCCTCGGAGCTTTATCTCATCACAAGCCGAGACTTCGTGGCCAAGGGTTCATTTTAAATAGAAGGTCACGGCTAGAGCAGAAAATCACAGGATTTATTCAAAGCCTCATAATCAGACCATCATATCAGAGGGGTTAGTGGGGGGGAAGGAAAAAATAATAACGAAAGAAAGGGAATGTTTGCATTTAGAAGAGCCATCAGCAAAGCATGCTCAATTTGGGAAGGAGAAGCCACAAGCCGTGGAAGACAGAAAATGGAGAACACAACGTAGGGCAGGAGAAGATTGAGCAGAATATTTAAATAAATATAAAAATCTATGAATGAAGACTTGGAAGGGATTTAATAATGTTTAGAAACTGAACAGTTATGGTCACAATCCACCCTCTTTGAGTTATGGCATTAAACAATGGTAACGCGGGCCAATATTTTTCATATTTCCACACATTTCCAAATATTTCCACTTCAGCATTTTATCTTGTTGGACAGTTTTCTAAACTTAAGCCATAATAAACACATGATTTCTCGAGTTATTACCAAAATGTATTTGTGAGGTCACAGCAAACTAGTGCAAGACAAGATTTAGATATTGGAGGCCGAAGTGAACATTTGTGCCAAATCTCAGGAAATCTCTCAAACAGGTTTGCGTGTTGCTGAGAATGAATGACCCCAACATGGAGCACAAGAAATACAAAGGAAAACATAAAAGAGGTCGCGCATAAGTAGATGCTCAACAATCTTTTCTGCCCATGCGGTCTAACAAAGTTCAGGAACCCAGGAAAGCACTGTGTTAATGTCATATGATAGAAAGGTGTGAGCACGTAGTCCCAGAGAGGTTTTATATTAGTGACATGCAGGACATGGATGTAGAGCACAGAAGCCAAAAGCACAGCTTTGTTGGTTAGGAGCTACAACAGTGAGCGGTTTCATTTAACGTGTTAGTTCAGAGTTCAAATTTCTTAAAAATGGCCGCAAGTGAATCATTTTCTTTGTCAAACTACTTCACCTGTGGGCCAAATAAAAACCATTCCAAATAATAAACAACTATCCAGATCATGGTATTGATAAGAAAGCTGACAACTCACCATCTTTGCAGATGGTGCTCACCACGCAGGCTCCTGCCTCCAGATTGTAACCACTGTTGCAGCTGCTGCAGTTTCTTTCCCCGGGCCCCAAGCACTCATAGCAGCTACTGTCACACCTGCCGAAGGGTGCGTGAGGAATTAGATGCTAGTTAAGGCAGCACAAACTTTATTCCTGCACGCCAAAATCTGAAGTAAATCGATCGCTATAAAGGCAATGACGAATGATACCTGTTAGAGCTCACATTTCAACTTTGTCAGTCTACAAACTCCTGAACTATTAAAGGTATGACTATATTAATAGCAGAAAACAACCCTGACAAATATATTATACTGCAGTATTAGACATTTACAAAGAGATGAAGATGGGAAAAGGCTGTAATTTATGTAGACTCTCCTATTTATTCTCTTACTTTTCTTATATGTAATATTATTGGCCTATTCGGTTTCTGCTGGTGAGCGGTGTCTGCAAATGTGCCAGATTTCTGAACACAGAAAATCTGGAGGAGAAGATACCTGAAGCAATCCTTTAGGAGCAAGTGTTAGACACAGTTATCACATTTATCATCCCGCTAGTGTGAAAACATCACTTTCTGAGACAAATCTGAAGCTGAGCATGAATGAATCCAGTACGGTAAAAGGGTCAAGTGGGCAATAAATAATTCAAGACGGGAAGGGAACATAGCAGGGAGGTGGGGCCATAAGAGGAACAGACAAGATGTCTGACGCTGTGGATGAGTTTCAACTAGCAAAGTAGTCATCAAACCATTGTCAATCATGGGGATATGATTATGTTTACGTGTTCTTTCCGTCCTCATTCAGGTTAACATTAGCGAAGGGTGACTCAACAGAGCCGTCTGTGGGAAAAGCTCACACAGCTTAAAGACAACAAAACAATGACGGCACCAAATGTCAGCGCTGACTGGCTCTGTGACTGCGGTTTACTGGGAAGTCCTTCATTGCAGGCTTTCTGTTCTCATTTACCTTTACTGTCATCAGTGACTGATTGCAATTTTGCTGAATTACCCCATTTGAATTTTTAAATACAGGTGTAGTGCAGCCGAGTTTTGAGAATCATCTTCAGCCTGCTATCTCAGAAACCAGAAATGCACAGAGCAGGGAGAAAATAAGAAAAACAGCGGAGGCTAAAGTTAGGTTTAAGTTGGAAATTTGCACTTGCACTAGCAAAGGAAACTTCCTTGTTTATCTCTACAGACTGGAAAGTCGTCCCCCACACCACCCCTTTTCACCGTGGCGTAGAGGTGTTGGCAGGTGTGCTGACTCACTTCTTACAGGACCTCTGCACCTGCCCGTTGTCTGAGGTCTGCTCTGACAGGTAGTAGCTAGGACTGCATGTTAAAACACACCGCCAATCCTCAAGTAAGTAGCCGTCCGCACACTTTGTGCACGCCTCGACTCCTGTGCCTGCAAGACACAAATGCATTTTTGAGCGTTACACTGGCGAATAGAAAATGTTGATCGTGTCTTTAAAACGCACAGATTTACTGCACATTACAAATGAAATCCTGCAAGCATTGCTTCCTACCTGCGCAGGTGGCACAGGCCCGATGACATGGTTCGCAGGTCCTTCTATGGCCGTTGTAGTAAGTCCCGGGGTCACAGGTCATCTGACACTTGTTTGCCTGAAGGCTGGAAAGTGAAGCGAAACAAGGCACTCGTAACTTTAAAGTAAAACCAGAAAATCCTGCAGTAAAATCACTGGACATTAAAAAACCTCATGTTTTCCTTTGTGTGCATGCAGTGTGCATCAAAACAACATGCTTCTGATTTTTGCATTGATTTTAGAGGTGGCAGATGGTGGAGAAGAGGTCAGATATGCAGCAGGTTTGGAGGTTACAAAGTCAGCTCTGTGGAGTCACAGTGAGGACAGGTTGGTGAGCTTTGCTAAGCTGAAAAACAGCTGGTCCGCGTTAGCTTAGGTTTCCCAGAAACAATTTCGTCTGGTCCCGTCTTCCTCTCCGACTCCTAACTGAGCATTAATGGTGGACTAAGTGGAAGAGGAGAGACTGTGTGTGTCTGCGTGTGTGTGTGTGTGTTACTGTGGTCTCTGAGGCGTTCAGAGGAAATTATGGCCAACAAGTGTCCCTCCCCACCTCCACCTCTGGCAACACTATGCACTTAAAAGTTGGGTTCAAGACCACAGTATGTTTAAACACTTCACAAGTGTTTCTTTCCTGACCTAGCTGGAATTCCAGCACTTTAGAAACTATCCTCAGTCAGGTCAAATGCAGCTGGGTCATTTTGAAGAGGCTCCTGTGGAAGTGGCCAAATGATGAACTGAGCCATGTCTCAATGGCTGGCTTAACGGTTCAGATCATAGCCTCTTCAAAGTAAGGATTACAACGCAAAACAGATCCTCTTCCTTTGGGTCTCCACATTACACAAGCATATGTGGGCTTTAATAAGCCACTGACCCCACTGGATAACTATCGGTTTACTCAATATGGATCCCAAGTGGATAAAAGTTGGGAAACCTTCGTTTCACCGGTTCACTGTACAAACCACAAAGTATACAATGTTCTGGAATAAAATGGCAGCACTTCTGCAGCATTACAGTCAATGAACACAAAAGGTTTTTATCCTGGAACCACAACAGTGATATTTGGGGGGAAATCTATGTCAAATTTTATATTCAAGGCTTATCAAAGCACAAAGCCCTTCATAGCGGTCCATGTATAAAGAACCACAACCCACTTGCGGTTCAGGGGTTAAAGCGAGTTGTCCAATAATCACAGCAGTTCAGTGGCTGTTCCTGTTGAAGCATCACTGAGCAAGAGTGTAAGAACGGGTGAAAAAGCTTTAACTGAGCCGTGTGTTTGAGACCAGCTAGTTTGTTCGATTTTCTGACCACATTTAAATGTGAATGTTATATAAACAGATGGTGAAAAAAAACATCCAACTGTTTGCAATGAGGGGCAAAATTTGGAAGTTTTCACACCAATCTTTTCCTGTTGCAGTTCCTTATACATTAAAACCTGGTTAGTCAGATGATAATTTAAAAACACTTAAGACAGAAGTTGAGTCCTGTTTACTTTCTGACCGTCATGCAACTGACCATTTTCTAAAAGAAGTTGATGTTCACATCTAATAAAGGTATATCAAATCAAATCTGATTGTCAGAGATTCTCACAAAATATCACAACACTCTCCTACTGCCCAACATCTTACAGCCAAAACACAGCTGTCACGAAAAATGCAAGGCAGGATTTCTTGTAATTTAAGTCGTTTTTAGGAATAGTTCACCTGGTTTCTTGAAGGACATTTAAAGCTCTTCTTTGGATGTTGGCTGGCATTTGTTCTATTCTCTGTCGAGATGATCCCATACTGTTTCATTACTTTGTTTTTCTCTACACAGCTAACCTTTTACTGCACTGGCAGTGTGTTTGGGATCATTGTCATGCTGAAAAATAAATTTGCTGCCAATCAGATGCTTTACACTTCGTATTGCATTGTGAGTCAAAATCTGATGCTAGGTCACTTTAAGAGGGATGGACTTGACCTCCTGACTATGAATGATGTAGATGATAAGGTGCTGACTCTATGAATCCACAATCTCAACAGGGTTGTCCGATAAGAACAGATGGCTTATCCACAAAATCCACTGCCACTCAGGTATCTGTCGTTCACTCATTTATTTAACAAGAATCCGAAGCACACATCCATAATGTGAGTGGGGGGATTTAACAGGCTGTAAAATGCTATATGCCGTGTGGTGAGTGATGGTGTGGTTTAGTCTCATGGACGCACACCGCTAACAGCATTAGAACGAACGAAAATCCACACGGTGAGTAAAACTCTGCTGACTCTTCCCACCTGCAGCTCCGACCGAAGTCTCTGCGTCGACGTGTGCGTAATGATGAGGTAGAATTGTGTCTTCTGATTGGTGAAGAGAATGGGTTGCCTCACCGCTCATTGGCTAAATGGCAGCAGTATGCTGATATCTTACTCAGCAGATGTGGCTCCGTTCGTGAGTTCTGCCGACTGGCTGGCCTTTTGTACACTAGTCCATGTTTGAAATTAAATCAGTTTTGATAAGATCTCCAGCAATGAAAATGCATCAATGTCACCATGTTTTATAGATGGCTGTAGACATTTGTGTCCTACCTCTCTCTAGGCATCCTCCATACATATTGGCAACAATCCGAACCAAAAAGTTAATTGGATTCATCACCCCATAAACCACTGATTTCAAATCCAGTTCTTGTATAATATGTCATACCTGGCTGGTTAAAAAACTTGGCTTCTTGACAGCCACCCTTCCACTCAGACCAATTCCAATGAGGCTACAGTAAACAGTAGACGAATCGACTTGTAACGCCGTTACTTGTAACGCCGTTACTTGTAACGCCGTTATTCCCATCACTGCTTATAGGTCAATAATAGGTGGCTTTAAACAACAACAACAACAATCATTCTTCTGAAAATGGTCAAGTACAAGGCCTGGACTGATAATGAGTGAGAAAGCAGCCATTATCCAAAGAAAAACTGAAACACCTTCAGAGAGCCTGGAGAACTGAAAAAAGACAGTAGGACTCCTGTGAAGCAGGACGTAAAGGACTGGTGGGTGGTCTAACACTAACACATTTTGCACAGTGCTACTGTTCATATGCACCTCTTTCACGTGATGACTAAAAAAGTTCAAGGCTGTGCTGTTTGTGAAGATTATTAATACTTAATATTTAGTTTAGTATTAATACTTAATACTATAATCAGTGACTCTAGTCAGGAATTGCTCAATGTGGCACCCATCTTACCTCATCCCAGGTTTACATTCTGTGCAGATATTGGAGGCTGTACACTTCTTACAGTTCTCCTGACATCGCCTAAAAATGTTGGAATCTGGAAGACACACAGTGTGCGAGTCATACACAGCACATAATAGGAACCAGAAGTCTGGTTGCATTAAAAAAAACCAGCAGGGGAATAGAGGCGAAAGAGTGATGAAGAGTATCAGATGGAGTCGAATGTGTGAGGAAGACCAGCGAGTAAAGTTATGAGAGAAAAAGGAGAAGAAGAGGCAAAAAGGACAAAAAAAAGAGGAGGAAATGGAGATAGCAAGATGAGGGGTGAAAGGTTCTGTGGGGCTGAAAGAAGATTATAGTGTTGAGGGAGGATGGGAGTCTAGATGAATATTTCAAAAGGCAGACTAAAGTCAATGACACGCTTTGACACAAAGCACATGGACTCCTCTGTAGCAATGGTGATTGCCAAAAAGTTATGCTAATAACATGTTTTATCATTCCCTGAAAGGACGAGGAGACTGTAAGTAAGAATGCTGGTTGGATTTTTTGGATTTTTTTTCCTTACAGGATGAAATGAAGGACATGGGCAGGCTACGGACTGGTTTCCAAGTTGGACGATATGTTGTTTTGGCATTTTGGCTCAGAGCTGTAGGAGAACATTAGAGTGTAATTTGGCTCATCAATCAATATAAATTCTTTAGAAATTTTAGGGTTTTTAAAATGGGTATAAAAACAATCTGCTGCTGATTTCTACTCTTCTCCATGTTATATCAGGGTTTCTTGAATATTTTTTGCATTTTAACAAATTCACAAAATGATTAATGATTAGAAAAGATTTCGTGAAACCACAGTAAATAGTACAATCCTGGTCAAACGTTTTGTCATTTAGTATATATATGCACTAATTTTACCATCAATAGCACAGCGAGCCTAGCTTACATTGGTTTATCCGTGATATGGTAACAAAATCATGTCAACGTTGCTGTCAGAATGTTAAAAAGAATATAAACTCCAGTTTTCTTATTTAAAAAAAAAACAACAACTAAAAAACCCTCGGCTATGCTGCCATTCCAAAAGGGAAAATGTACCCACTACATCTTGGCCTGTTAAAATGTTATGATTAAACTTGCATCAGAATATCTCAGATCTGCTGCCAGAGACTCTCAGAGCTGCCAGGGCTTACACACTATCCTGGCAAATACAAAGACATAATTATAATATATACATAGTGTCAGTCTCTCATTTCTGGTTTGTTTTTATTAAAAAAAAAAAAAAAAAAAACACTGGCAAAAATTCTGAACCCGTAAAGCACATACTTTCTGTGAATACTACTGCACTACTGAATACTTTACATGCCAGAATTTAACACAGGAAGAAAAAAAAAGAAAAGAAAAATTATCGTAAACCTAATCCAAGCATAATCTTCCTGCAGATCTGCTTTATTTCATGTTTTATTCCACTTTAATTTGACGTAGCCAAACGGTTCCCTACCACAAACTTTTCAGTTCAGCTTGAATCAGCAAGTGCATTACAATAAACAAGTGGCTAGACATTACCTCAAGGGTACAATGGCATCATTCTGGTGTGGTGAATGAAAGCAGACTGGTGATAGTTACTGCTAAGGGTGGAGGTTTTTAGAAACCTCCTCCACCATTTACAAATGGCAGTGTATTTCTCTACAGTCTTAATCTAAGGAACTTTAGGCACAGATGATTATGCAGTGGACACGGAGAATAACAGTGAGAATTTGGCATTTTAAGAAAACAGGTGCACAACAGAAACACAACTGAAGTCCCAAGAAACTTATAACAAAACTGTGTGACAGCTTGTAAATAAGAAATGCACAGCCACCGTGATGTGACTAATTGGTTTCAAAAAACCTGACGTTTTGAAACCGAGTGAAGCATAGATCTGAGTGAGAAACAGTAATATACTATAACACATTCCCTGCTTCTTGTTTATGTTACTCTAATGTTTATTCGGGGCAATCGTGGCTCAAAGAGTTGGCAGTTTGTCTTGTAACCGGAAGGTTGCCTCGCTTCTGTCAGTCTGCCCCAGGGCAGCTGTGGCTATAACTGTAGCTTGCCTCCACCAGTGTGTGAATGTGAGAGTGAATGAATAGTGGAATTGTAAAGCGCTTTGAGGGCCCCGAAAAGCGCTATATAAATGCAATCCATCATTATTATTATTATTATTATTATTATTCTACGAAACAAACATTGCGTTTTCTTAAATAAAACCTAAAACTAGCGACTAAGACCATAAACCCATCGGGATTTTTTTTACTTAGGGAGTCGCCCCCTGTTGGCCGTCAAAAAATATGCAGGATATGGCACTTCTGCAATAGCTTTACTTTTCAGACCCGGAGGTTAGCCATGACAAACCCGGTGTGACCTGCAGGGAAACCTACCGCTATCGAGGTAGAAGCCGTCAGGACAGTTGGCGACGCACGTGTGGGAGCCCTCGATGAGGTTAAAACCACTCCTGCATGTGGTGCACTGGTCACTACGACTACCAACACAGGTCTCACAAGAGGAGGAGCACTTCTTGCAACGTTTCCTATCATCACGGAAAAATCCACTGGGGCACTCTGATACACACATCCTAGAAAGGGAAGTCATTGAAGACAGAAAAAAAGTATTCACATTTAGTGCATTAGGATAACCTCCTTGAGATGTAATTTTGGAGGTTTTGAAGACAAATATAAAGACAACAAAAAAAAGGTGAGGGAAAAAAATAAAAATTACAACCTTATACAAAGCGACTCTAGCAATTCAGATTGATTAGTCAACGCTGCGCAAAATAAGTGAACAGTTAGGCTCGGAAACATGTTTATGCAAGTTTATCACTCAGGTGGAGCTCAAAACATCAAAGCTTTTTTTTAAAAAAAACTTAGTATAAAAAAAATGAAGAATGAAAAAAAGTGTCATGAAAGCATGTAAAAAAATCTATAGCACATTTTTCTTAAAGATTTATTGAGGCTGTAGTTTCCTCTGAAGGGCAGCGTTCTTCAACAGCAGACCAGTGAAGACCAAATCAAAACCAAGGACCGAAATGTAAAAAATAAATAAATACATAATCTTTGCAGCAAATATGATCTAAAATGAAATAAAATATCTGGGAACTAATATAAAAATAAATGTGTGCGTGCAGGTTTTACACAACGAACAGGCCAACATCTACTGAATAACTTCACAGCTCCTTAGCACCCCATCATTTTAACCCGAGCTCACACCCTGAAGTAATGACTTCCATAGAGCTAAAGAGCAAAAAAACACACACAAGCGTGCACCTTCTGCCAAAAAAAAACACACTGCACGTGTGTAAGTACAAAAGACATGCTTTTATCCTCCAACTTAAATACATCCCTGGTTTGCTGAAATGGTTATATAAAAAGAAAAAAATATCTTTTGTAACGACAGCATGTACTGTAGTGTAACCTCTAAACCCAGGACACCAATTAAAAATGTTTTTAAAATGTAATCAATTACTATTTTCAAGCTGATAGTTTACCCTGAGAATCAAACTCAAAAATACATAAAAAGAAATTCCAAAGACCCCCACATCCTTTGGTGTATGTGAAGCATCAAACACGCATGTAGGGATGTAATTATCTGATGACTAGATGCTGCTGCCACCCCTCCTCCTTCCTCCAATCTTCATTCATCAATTGCTCCCTGTGGTGGCAGAAAAGGGCAGCACACCTCTAAAGTGAGCTAATGATAAGGCAGCACCTAAGCTTGCACATTCTCATGCACCTGCATCGGCCTGTCTTTTATTAGACCAGAGACAGGCCGACACAAAGGCAATTACTACAGACTTTGATCCCGGGGGCAAGCACAAAATGTAGACACATGCACAAATTTACAGTCACACACGGGCTTGTATACACACAATTAAGAAGGGGAAAGGACAAACAGGACACACCGTGACTGACAGCGTTTCTCTTATCAGACTGACGTGGTGTAATTAATCAGGCCACCATCAGGAGAGTTTCCAAGCTCACCATGTAACAGTCTCCTTATATAAAGCACAGTGCGGTGCAAAGCTTCCAAAAACTCAGTAGCCAGTTTCTCAGTTCTTGTTTTTCTCTCTCAGATTTACTTGTCAAAATGTAGAAACATTCTTTTTCTGGATTCACATGAAAAGAAATAAAATAAAATGCACTAAAAATAAACGCAGGTGTTAAATTTCTGTAGGTTTCCTAATGATCAAACCCAATCACACAAAACAGGCTGGCGAACAGATGTTTCTCTGAGGTATGTAAACAACTGAAATGCTGCCTTTGGCTGGTTAAAGCTACAGATCGAGGGATTTGTATGCACCAATGTTCACTTTACCTTTGGAAAACTATCTGATTGAAAGCCCCTCAGCTAATATTGATCCGTCTGCTCATTGGACCTCTTACTCCTAAAAACGATCAAAGGATGAAGCAACTGCTGGGCCAGACATGGGTTTTCCATGTGTTGCCTTTAAATTAACAGAGGAGAGAGAAAAATGGCTCTGTTGGAGTTCATTAAACAAGATTTTTTTTTGGTATTGTGGGTCATAGGGTTTGAGCTGATCTAAGTAGTTCTCACTCCTAATTCTACAACGAAGAACATAAAGGAATAAAAGTTTTGCCAGGACAATCATTCAATCATTTGTTTTTTAGTCTGTGATTTTTTTTTTGTTTATTCATGTGTTGAAATCTTTTATCTTCTTTGTTAAAATTCGATACGTCTGATTTAGCACAGATTTTATAGTGGCTGCCCACCCTTGATACTCTCATTTAACTGCGCTTGGGTCTGGCACTGGGAGCATACAAGCCCGTGAAGTCACTGAGGCTGGGTTTTTGTCTCCTCCCGGTCTCCAACCAGGGTTCTTTCACGTTTAAGGAGAATGTATAACCAGACTATAACTAGATGGCAACCACTTGGGTCGAATCCATGAGTGCAAAGAGACACGTGTGGACATGTTGCACTCATCGGTGGAGACTTACTGCAACATGTAGCAAAGTATTTGCAAACCTTCACCAATTTCTCTGAGAGTGACTGCAGTCGAATAAGGCTGACTGTGCAATCATCCATTTTTTTCCAAATTGCAAGGACTCTACTGTCCTAACAGACAGACAACCATTTACACCCAGATTGACACCTCAGCTAATTTAGAAATGTCACGTGATGCATGCGTTTGCACTGTGGGAGAAAGCTGGAGTACCCAGAGAAAACCTACATGTGGAGGGGGAGAGCAAAAGAGTCAACACAAAAACCTTCTTGCTCTGATGAGCCAGTGCTACACAAGGCTAAAGCACACCATGTAAAGCTTTTCTGGCAGAAAGTCAAGTGGCGTAAAACAAAGAGTGATACAATTCGATTCTGAAGGTTTGATTTTGAGTAGATGTATACAATCAAGGAGCAATATAACTTCTGGCAATCTAAAGCAGTCTGACCTGGTGTTGTTCTTGAACTTGAGGAAGTAATGAAGGCAGTTAATGCAGTGGTGGGGTCCAGGACCCCAACAGCCATTCTCACTGCATTCAGAGTCACAGGGGCCTGGATTCAAATACAGAAAGAAAAAGGGGTTTCAAGTCTTATGGCCTCTTAAAATGATCTATTTTAATTGATTGCACTTCAAAAGTACCCTTAAATCACAAACTACAATACTAATATTTTAACACAACAGCAGGGAAGTAAAAAAGGCAATGACAAACATGTTACTAAAGGCTGCTATTGTCACCAACCCTTCTGTGGGCGGCAATGGATTTATCACTTACCAGGGTACTCCTCTGGGAATTCCTCATCATCTGGAAACTGAGGCTTATCTATGTGCCCAGTTGAGTACGGGTGCACAGAGGTGCCATACAGCACCAGTGACCACTCCTTTAGCTTGCCTGAAAAGACAAGATGAGACTTATAAAAGTTATCCTAAATAGAGGTATTTCGGTCTCTCCTTGCGGTGGGTAAATGGGGGTGTTCTCATATTTATATTGTAGAGTTACTGGTATAATCAGGTCACACTATAAACCCGACTACACTTTTACGCCCTGCATTTTCAGAAACCACCACGAAACGTTTTAATGATACCCAAGGAAAGCTAGGTAGTTTATATGGCATTACAGTGACTGATGTAACAGCTTTTAAGAACCTACTACTCTTCATCTGAGACAGTAAATTAGTGGGTAATTTCAGTTACAAAATTCACGGCTTCCCGAGCAACATGCATGGCCCTGTTGGCACTTTACCTATTCCAGAGAAAGTTAATGGCTCTTCTGCTTCTTCTGTTGCCATAACATAAAAATCTATGTAAAAAAAATGAATACAACATGATTCAGTTAAAGAAACTATTCACACTGTCATACCAGGCACTTTCTGGCTGCGAAGTTGTGAAGGTGAGTCATAGATCTCTAGGACCCAGTCGCCAGCTGCCTTCTCTCCCCAGCAGTGGGTGGTCATAAACTCCCAGTTCTTAAAACCCTCCATGGAGTGATCAAACAACCTGTGCATCAGAAGTACACACAGTTACAAACACACAGACACTTATCGGATGAGGAAGTGTTTCAAACCCTGCAAATACAAGAGCAAACATTCAGAGCCTTTAATGAGCTATGCGCAGTGTACAGTACTGAGATTTACTAGAGGTTAAGTAAACCTGTGAAAACTCTGAATTCTGATTGGTTGGAAGATGCTGATTCACTTTTTATGAGCAAAAACTGTTGATAAAGTGTTGTAAACATAAACTCAGTGGCCACTTTATTTGTTACACCTTGCTAGTACTGGATTGGACCTTCTTTTGCCATCATGGCACAGATTCAACAAGCTGTTGGAAACATTCCTTAGAGATATTGGTCCATACTGACTTGATAGCATCACACAGATGCTGCTGATTGGTTGACTGATGTGAATCTCTTGTTCTACCACATGCCAAAGGTGTCCTGTTAGATTGAGGACCATTGAGGGCATTTGAGTGCAGTTAATACACTGTCACGTAGAAGAAACTGGTTCAAGATGATTTATGCTTTGTGACATTATTCTGTTGTAAGCTGGATAGATGGTACGCTGTGGTCATAAACCAATAGGCATGTGGTGTTTAAATGATGCTCAGTTGGTACCCAGGGGTCCAAAGTATGCTAAGAACCTGAGGTTGAACCATTATCACAAAGTAGAACGATCCATTTTCATTCCAAATTCTGACCCTACTCTAAGTCAAAGAGAAATTGAGACTCAACAGATCAGGCAACATTTTTCCAAATGTTGCCGACCAATCTACTGTTTTCCTATTTTGATCCAGCTTCAATTTCCCATTTTTATCTGACAATAGTGGCGCACAGTGTGGTCTTCTGCTGCTGCAGCCCATATGCATCAAGGTTCAATATGCTGTACATTCACAGATGCCCTTCTGCATACCATGGTTGTATCCAGCGGGTATTCGAGTAGCTGCTACCTTCCTATGACCTTAGGAAGGCAGTTCTCTCATAGAGCTCCCACTCACTGGATATTTTCTCGTTTTCAGACCATTCACTGTAAGCCCTAGAGATGGTTGCATGGGAAAAATTCCAGATGATCAGATCAGTTTCTGAAATACTCAGACTGCCACAAACAACCATGCTACGGTCAAAGGCAACTTTATTCCCCATTCTGATGTTCAATTTGAACTTCAGCAGGTCATCTTGCTCTTGCATACATGCCTAAATGCACCCAGTTGTCGCCATTTGATTGGCTGATATTCGATATTTGTCTTAACAAGCGGCTGAGCGGATGTTCCTATTGAAGTGATATATTTGCCACTGTTCAACTGTAGGTAAACTGTAGATGGTAAACACCAAGCTTCAGCTTGAGGTCTTAGAGCCAACAATAACAACCAAAGATGGGATCAATCCATGAATATATTACAGTTAAGTGATGAGGACTGTATGATGGGCTGAGGGCTGCTTTGCTTTTTGAAGGGAGAGCAGCTGTTTTTCACATAAACCACATGAATTTTTTTTATTATCTTAACACATTCCCATCTGTTGTCAGTTGATCATATTTTTCCTAAATTAACCAGACAAACTGTGGGGAGTACTCCACAGCAGACCAATGAAAAAGAGGTCTTAGCTGACCTAAAGTCCGGCAATGGTATTAATTTAATAGAAAATAAACAGATGAGAGAATTAATAACTGAAGATCAGAAACAGTGTACTTCAGCCCATAGAAGTTGCAGATACTGCTGTTAGATAAGGAGTTTAATTTGATTTTCATTCATATTCAAATTAATTTTCTTTTTAATAGAAATACTCTGGCACTGGCAGCCCTCTAAATGCATCATCATCACACAAGCTTCAAGCTGTTCCTGTCTGTTGTGGCACTCAACTGCATGCTCTTTGGTTGTAGTTAGTGGACTTTGGACATATTCAGATAAACACGCAATTATATGAAAGGACGTGGCAGGCATGAGTCAGAAAAACTGGTGGATTGAGCAAGTTTTTTTCTGAAGAGTTTAAATTATACAACTGAGTCCTATAAGATCAACGTAGCTTCAAGCTATGTTGATCTTATAGGACTCAGATGTATAAGCTATAGAAGCTAATAGTTTCTATAGCTTACACACAAAATTGTTTACTCTGTGTTTTATGCTAAAGTAAAATGAATAAGTGGAATAAAGCCATTTTGAGCCTGTGCAAAGGAAGCTGTCTTACCTATGCATTCATTCATCGGTTATTTTAAGCTCCCGAACTTGTTCAGAACACTATTTCAGTGCATGATCCGCAAGGTTATATTCCTACTTAGGAGCTGACTGATTGATTCTTGACTGATAGATATCAACTACCTTCTATAAAGGTTTAACAGCTTTTTGGCAGTGGCGGTATTTTTTACAATGTTCTGTGAAATAACACAGCACTGTTCTGCGTTTTCTATAAAACGACAGCACGTAAATTACTCATTTTGATGGAAAGTGGCTATAGAAGCATCCAGCCCAACTTCTGGAGCTCAAATATAAAAAAATAACAATAATTTAAGAGAGTGATGCAATCACACTTAGCTTGTTCTAAACTTCAGAGGGCCTCCTTTCTTGTTTGAAGTTCTTTCTTGAAGTGCTACTAACTTTTCCTTTGAAGAAAAAGTATCTCCACCAGTGTGTCATTTATCTGATTTACTCCACACAGCTAAAGCTAAAGGATATACAGCCAAAGACCCTGGGCACTGCAGTGTCTCGTTTTAGGTTCCTTATGGCTGAAGTTTTGGGGCCTCCTTTGTTGTGATGTCACACAAAGTAAAGAAGGTTTTTAGCCTGTTAAAGATGACGGGGTCACAGTTGGCATTGTTGTAGACTCAGCAACTTACGGCTGCTCCCTTATTCACAAGATATCACCACACAAGGTATCTCCACATGTTCTATTTGGGGGATTTTTATAGAGGATGCCCTTCCTGACATAACCCCTTAAAAAAATTCCCTCCCAAGATTGGACCAGGGATCTTTCGTTAGGCATGTGTGTAAGTTGCTATAGTTTATACTTCTACAATAAATTCATGTAATATCTCAGAGGGCCCGGTGGCGCCAGTGTCCGGCAGCCTCGCCTCTGTCAGTGCGCCCCAGGGTGGCTGTGGCTACAATGTAGCTTACCGCCACCAGTGTGTGAATGTGTGTGTGAATGTGTGGATGACTGGATGTGTAAAGCGCTTTGGGGTCCTTTGGGACTAGTAAAGCGCTATACAAATACAAACCATTTACCATCTAAGTGCCCGATGCCCTTGCCAGGATTTGTATTTGCACATGACGAGCAAGTATAGCCACCAAAACACAAGTTTGTGGTGCAGTTTCTCTCTTTAAGCTGGTTTGAAAAATCACACCAGAAGAAGCAGCAGCAGCTGGAAATGTTTAGGAGGAACCTACAGTACTGAATGGGCCAATCACAGATCCTATGGACTGTGTAATTACATTTCTAAAGAGGTGGACATTACGTTCAGCATATGGTTTCAGAAGGAATTGCAATTATTAGGTACCCATGTAGATTTATCGCTAACATATAAACCCCTGTTAGACTCCTCTGTCATGACAATATGCTTATTATATAAATCTCTAACCCAAATATTAAACAGATTAAGGTCAGCTATTCTTCATTAAATGGAACGGCACAAACCCGCTGGGCTACCAAAAATTATTCTCAAAGGCGTTGGTTTAGCAATGTATAATATACACATGCATGCATTTTAAAAAAAAACTAAATTAAAAAAAATGCATAAAAAGAAAGTGGAAAAAGTGATCTTTTATTTCAAGTTCATGAAGCTGAACCTTTGCAAAAGATCATTCACAGTAGGTTCTGTACCTGTTGGCAAGCAGCTGAGACTTTGTCCCTGAGGGTGAAGTCAGGTTGATTGACAGGTCCCCACGGCGAGGGTGTGTAATCGTTATGCGTACGACCACATGCTCCAGGTAGATCACGTGATGGTTGGGGTTGTCAGTGCATCCTGTCGCCTTGTACACGGACCGAACCACGTGCTCTGGACGGATGGTTCTGGAGGAAAACAGAGTTTAACCACTTTAAGTTTTTCAGAATCAGAAAACTTTGTTATTCCCAGAGGAAATGATGTGGTCACAGATGCTACAAAACAGCAAGGACAGCAGTGAACAAGTACCACTATCACAAAAAAGCTCCAATAAAAAATATACACAATATATAAAAAAAATAATATAAACTTGCAGCTGTGGTGTCTCTCTTACCATACTGACAGTTATTTTCTCTGCAAGGGATGTGCAGGATTTATCTGCCCAATATCACTCTACATGAACTGAGGCATTTTAAACCTTAGACTGTGGCCGTCTCCATAGTGATATGGCTCTAATTGCCATGACACAATTAATGTAATTATAAAGTTTCACTTCACTTCTTTTGATTTAACCTCTGAAAACCAAAGGGCATGCAAAAAAAAGAGAGAGAAAAAAGTCCATATTAATATTTCTCATTTCTTGAACCTCACTCTGCCAAAGAAACCAAGAACCTGAACACGATAAGAAAGACAAAGAACATTATTTGTTCAGTCTGCTATGCACGGCTCAGCAGCAGAAAGCTCACCGAGCAGCCAACATAAACATCTAATGGCCCCTTGAATAACATCTGTGCTATGATTTAATAGAGCAGCGATACAGCACCAAAACCTGGACGAGTCCACAAGAGGGGACAATGAAAACCATCTTGCCAGCGCAACACTTTGGAGAAAAGGAGTCACACATGGAGCAGGTGAGCCAACTTAACACATCAGCTCACTGCTGCCAATGGATTACATGCAGCGTTTACTCACTGGAAACTAAAACATTACACTTTCTTCAAAACATTACAAAAATGAGTTACTAAAATAATTTCTTGCAGGCTGGAGGGGGTTGAGAGAACAGCCAATGAGTTCTGTTGTTTGATTATATATTGGAAACTTTTTTGAAAGATTCCGTTTTAAGCGTTGCAATCACGACCACGACATTTTCTAGTTATGAAGCCATGCGGTACAGATGTTCATCTTTGCCTGTAAAATTGCCCCGAGGCAATTACAAACTAGCCCGTGATATCAAAAGCGATTCCAGGAGCGACACTTCCTCGCATTTGGCTCGAGAATAGATTGAGAACAACAGTAACAAAGTGGCTTATTTCATTAATAAAAATATTCAGCTTTGGCTGTTCAGACCATGTAATTAATGCTGGTCTTCTGATTATTAATTACTGCTAAAAAACATCAATTTGTTGTGACTGATGTGTTTGCAAAAGGCCAACACTGGCCACCAAGATGAAAGTAACGATTTCCGCTAAGAAATGCTGCTTAAATTACCCGAGCTGGTACGTTAAATTAATCTGTCTCACATCGGTTAGAGCGGTGAAGAAAGGAACGACGGCGATTTATAATTAAAAGCAGCACATGAGCAGCACACGTTTTCCTGAATGCAGAGAGGAAAATAATCTACGATAATCTTTCCATTTGTCCCTCATCTCTATCTGAGCGTTTCCATAATGGAAGTCTGAGCAGCTAATTGACGCAACTATTTTTACATAAAGTACAAAACAGAAACAACTGTTGGTGGTGAAGCAGATTAGATGGAGCGAATAACAGTGAACACACTGAATGTCTGTTTTGATGTTTGGAAAGCGGTCAGCGGTAACGTCTGGGGAGTCTGGAGCCGACAGAGCAGCTCTGCTCTATGACACCGCACAGATAGCTGAACCGTGCGTGCTGGGACCGAGCAAATGCACGGCTGATTACCACCAGTCTGATTGCACTCGGATTATGCAGTTTTCCTGCTGCATACTCCAAGTGGTGCTGAGATCAGCTGCAGACAGACATTACCAAACGTGGTCAGAGGGGCCAGCCAGAGGGTGTGTGGGAGCACAGCAGTGAGGTGATGACTGCACTTATGTCGCAAGTTGCACTAGAAGCACAGAATACACGCCCAGAGAGATGTGGCAGCGAACTAACTGCACATGTGTGCCTGCTGTCGTCTTTTCTTTATTTTTAAACAAACTCTTTGGTTTATGGAGGAGGTCGTTTCGCTCCTTTTGGGACAAATCCAGATTTGAAAATGTGTCACAGATAAAACTTTTATGATTGTTTTGCCTTCACTTCAGAAGCAAAAAAAACACAATACAACGCCTTTTATTTCTGTTGATTGCTTACTTTCTTCTTATTGTGGCTTAATGGAAGTATTACTTCTGTTCAAAAACAATGCTTTAATCCCATTCACAGCACATATATTTCTCCATTACCCACCAGTAAGGATTGCTTAACACAACAGCCTCCGACAGGAGTTAGACTTTACATAAGCCTCGTATGGGCTGGCTTGTGCACTGGTGCAGAACAGACAGAATGACAGTGATAATGGTGCAGTCGCTGGCCACTGAGCCTTCGACTGAAAGCAAACCAGTTCGGAGCCCAAGTTCAGCCAGCCTGCCTAACACAGAACAGAGCTCAGGCTTCCAGCTGCATCAAGAATAACAAGTTGTGAAGCCCTGGCTCTCTCTATGCAAGTGTGTGCGCATATGCGTGTGTGTGTGCGTGTGTGTGCGTGTGTGTACACACATAGTAAAGGTCTTATGTGAGAACCACCCTGCCAGAACTAATGCTTGGCCCCTATCAAGGTACAGCTTGCACAACTGCACTCTGAAACACATGCCAGTGCAAAACACCAGAGAGAGAAAGAAATAAGAAAGAAAAAAGAAAGACAGTACAACTGAGAGGGGGGAACAGATTGAAACAAAGAGTGGGGGCGGCAGGGGCTCTCACAACAGCTTACAAAATCTGATTTAGCCAGAATGGAAGCATATTTAATGAGACTTGTTGGTATATGAGGACACTAGATGGGATCAGATTCCTTTGTGTCATAGAAACTGTACATATACATATACTCTTTTAACATAAAATTAAAATCACCCTAGCAGTAGACATCCATGATTATTTAATGCAGGAACACCAAGCTTTTAATTTAATTGGCGAAATTTTAAAGCTCTTTTAAAACTGTTGCTACAAAGCTGGAGTGATCCAGCTTTGTAGCAACAGTTGGGAGAGGCTGTTTCCCGTATCCCGTGCTTCCTTTGGGATCATTTTGGAATACCAACTACGAACATCGCTCATCAGCTTACAGCAGAGTTTAAGGATGCTTTTGTGACTGAACGGAGTAAAATTCCTGCAGCCAGGTTCCCAAAGTCTGATCTCAAATCTGCTTCAAGTGTTTTGTCCACATACTTATGACTTATAAGAGATTATGCAACCTGTCTTATGTTTTACCTGATTTGTCGGTCTGCACTCTCCACACAAACATGTTGAGTGGGAACTTGCTTCCATCGCTCCGCCTCCTTCACCATCGCCTCGGCATCCATCAGGCCGAAACCATACAGGTGGCTGACTGCAGGAAACAGCAGAAAGTCACAGTTAGGCTGATTTATTCGATTGTTTTTGGCTACGAACAGTTTGTCAAAAGTGGGTTACATCTTAAAGCTCCTTAAGAAGATTTTGCGTTTTTAAGCAGCCACAGTACAACATCGGCATCAACATCCTTTTACAGAATCTGGCCTCACCGGGTAGCACCGGGTTGGACAAAAGAGGGGTTTATTTGAGTCACTGTTGCCTTCCTATCAGGTCAAAGCAGTCTGACCAGTCCTCTCTGACATCAACAAGGTATTTTTACCCAGACAACTACCACTCCCTGGATATTTTCTCTTTTTTGAAGCACTACACCACATTCAAAGTCACCTAGCTCCTGTTTTTTGTTTTTAAACCATCGGTCAATCTCATAACCAGTCTTCAAATGACCATAATAAAAGGCAAGCGGTTTCAGAAAGAAGAGAAGATGACTTTTGAGGTTATGTCTGATGTGTCACAGTAGCACAAAGCTTTCACCAAGTACAGGTGTCTGAAGACAAACAACAAAAAGAAAAAAGAAAAGGAAAAAAAAAGCTCCATCTAAATTTTACGTGCTTCACATAACCATAGCTCCTCAACAATTTTGGTCTAGAGGGAAAAATCAGATGCTTCCTGACAGATGAGAATTAGTCTAGATGCCCTCTATAGCACTTGGGTGATAAAGGGTTAAATCACCTTGTTCCTCATTGTGATGCTCATTGTGAACTTCAGCAGGTCATCTTAACCACACCTACACCTCAAAACTGAGCATGTGATTGCCTGATTAAATATGTTAATGTGTTCATGAAGAGGTGTGCCTAATATAGCGGCCGATGAGTGTAGTTGTTTTTAAGAGTCCTACAATTGTTGCCCGAGAAGAATCAGAACGTGTCAACCAAAGTGAAACTCTATCACCTACGTTTTAAATGCCCCTCTTAGTCAGAAAAGAGTTAGAAAAAAAATAAGACTGCTTATATGTACAGCTAATCAAATATGAATTCCTTTCATACTTCCTCACCCCTCCTCCTCTCCTCTGTCACTTGGAAAATCTCCAGGCACACTGGGCCTGCAGCCTGGCTGACCCTTAGTTCTCCCTCTCTTGGTTTCTCTCCAACACACACACACACACACACACACACACACACACACACACAGGTACGCACACACAGTTACAAAATAGCACCCACCACATGGACCCTGACAGATGGCAGCTGGCAGCGCCGTACTTAAGCAAGCAAGAACAAGACATTTTTGGAAACTTCTCATCAGCCGCCTTCAGAATAATCTAATGAAAATATACATTTTCACAATGCAATAATTGGTTAGTTAAGATAAGATCTGCTGAAAAATAAATTCCTTACATCATCCTCCTGTGTTCAAACTGATCTGATTTTTCTAACACAGAGCTGTTACGTTTCCTTTTTACCTTTACCGTCAGCTCCACCTGTTACTGTCTCTGTTCTGTGTAACGTTTATTTGTTTGTTTGATATTCTGGCGGTATGAAACGAAGAAGCGCAGATTTCTAGCAGTAAATCAAAAGCCTCAAACAAATATCAAACACTTCTAGGGGGGCAAAAAGTCAGCTTTATAAAGACAAATTCCAATTAAGTTAAATCAACTTTATTTCAAAGATGTTTTTTAATGATTATCACCCATCCAGACTTCAAACACCGAACTTCTTGAAAATTAATTAAAATCAGTCACATGGGACTTGTAACCGATTATTTTTATTGTGTAGAGGCACTGATAAGATATTGAAATTCAATGTGGTTCATGGTTGAGAAAACACTGTGGTAGATGGTCTGAATTCATAAGCAGATATATTTTGATGCTCTCTTTTTGAGCAAGAAGTAAACAGGTTTGGATGCAACAGAGATTCAAGAATTTTACTGCTTTCATTTACTGAAGGTTTACGTCTGAGTGAGTGAGTGTTTACCATTGTAACCAGCAGCATTCGTCTTCCAGTCAGGAGCGCTGAGGTGTCCGGCTCTAGAGGTTTTCACAATGATATGCTGAACGTCTCTCCATGATAGCAGAGGACTAGCAGAGGAAAACACAAATAAAAAGAAATCCATCGATTTATTAACGAAAAAAGAAGAAGAAACTTTGCTTAGCTGTCCTACACTACTGCTAAATATTTGAACTGCCTTCACAAAAGCAGGAAGTTATCCAGGAATGATAACGATTAGACATTAAAAAGGCAGAATGGAGATAAACAGACAGATCTTTGTTGTGAGAGTTAACAATCAGACATCATCGTGGCGGGAAGGGGAGGAAGAGGCGGCCGTTTGCTAGATGAAAGGAACGTTGGGAAAAACAAATCCAGTACAAAAGGTGAAGCGGGTTAAAAAAAAAAAACAAAGCAGAAAGACGAAAGGTAGGTAAAGAAAAATGAATATACAGTAGGTGGAAAATTACTGAGAGAGAAAATTACAGAGGGCGTAGATGGAGGGCATAGATGCTTGTTCCGTCTCTAGTTTCTTAGATCTCACGTGAGATCCATTACAGGATGGCAGCCATGTGTCTCAACTCCTTTGATGTCCAAATGTTACATTAAAGGAAAAAAACCAGGAAGAAGTGGGTCACCAAGTTTCCTGGGATTCCCTTCCATCTCATATGCTGGCCAGATGCTCTGTTCTCTCCCCTCATGTCACTCCCTCACCATCTGAGACCTCCAGAATTTGCAATTCTCCAAAGCTTTTGACCTAAAACTATGATTTTAGGCTTTCAACCTCACATTTTAGTGTTAGAGCCTAACAAAATAGACAGATATCTGCCCCAATTTCGGGCAGCTATAGACAGGAACGAGGCTTGTTGAGTTGCTAACATTAGAGGAGCTACCTGCGGTCTGTGAAACCTGCTGTACAGAGTTTTGTTTCACCGCCAACTGGCTATGCCTGTGATATATGCCTCCAACGAGGAAAGCAACACCGATGGCAACCTGTGTTTGTCGCTAATGGCTTACTTATTTGAATGAATGCAAGATAGATTAACTCTTCCTAACGGGTTACCTCGTATACTTATTCATCCTGATAGTGCACCAATCAAGTCTGGCAAACAAAACATTGTGTAACAAACCAGCATAGCACCATAGACACTATTTTACGGCCAAGAAGACATGGAAAATTCAAACAAGAAGACTCAAGCACGGCTTACTTTCATAACGACCTTCATTTGAAGTTTTATCTATAGCTGTGCAATAATGCCACATGGTGAAGATGAGAAAGAAAATCCTCCAATGATGATTTACTACCTAAAAAAGGAGCTACTTCAACAGCCTCCAACAAAGCACGGTACTTAGCAAAATGCGCAAGAAAAAAAATTCTTGCTAAATGTGGAAACATTAAATCAGGCAGAAAAATAAATAAATAAATATAAATAAAATTTAAATAAATAAAAAACAAAAAAACAACCAAGTACAACAAGCCACAGAAGAGGTGCTAGTGGCTGGTGCTGTGCGACTCAAATGTAAACAAATGACCCCACTGTAGCACTTGCTAGCTGTGCTCCACATGACAGAAAGAGCAAACAGTGACTTTACTGACGCTTGCTTGGTAAAGCAGGACTATAAGCAGTTCATTAAAAAGCTCCAACATCCCAGGGTGGGTTTTATTGTGTGACAATTTTGTTAGAAGTTTGAGCTACTTTAGTTATTGGTAATCATAAGCGTCATGCAGCTGTTTTATACTTAAAATTTCCAGGTAAAAACACTACAATAGACTGCTGCAGGCAGCTTGTTTCAATAGATTCACACTTTAAATGTTGAAGTGTGTCAATGGTAGCAGTAGCTCATTGATAAAGAAAGACAGGAAATGTCTTTTAATTACTCACATTTATAAAGTTACGGCCTACAAGCTAAAAGCATTGATAAAACATTCACTACATTTTTAAATATTCATTCAGAAATATTGTTACTGCTAATTTTCTTAAAATGTGATATAATTTGGGGGCCATATTGTCTACCCCCCTACCCCTATTGGAACCCCAAAAAACACAACAACCAGCTGATCCAAGCAGGGCAGAGCATAACCAAGAAAATAAAAAAACTTTAAAAATAAAATACATGTGATGAATGTTTGTGTTTCATGTGTCTCATCAGGAACAAAAAGATTTTTTAACATCCAATTTTTTTAAGTCTTAAAAATTCCATACTCGTCAGGTTCCAACTTGGACCCAAGCAAACCCTAGAATACTTACTTAAAAATAAATTAATTAAAAAATTCTTTTAAGAGCTTAGGAAAAAAATCTGTCCAGCATTTCTTTCTTTCAAAACACTGATTTAGTATAAAAGATGGACACAGTTTCTGGGTCTGATCAGTAAAACCAATGCAGAAACAAGAAGGAAGTCTGAAGGTACGGCTTAGAAACGCCTCCAGAGACTTGGATGAGAAATAATTTGAAGCATCTTGTTTTTGATCAATTTCAACAATCGCCAAAAATGTATCTTTGTTTCTCCTCTGATACGTCGACTTCTACCTCCATCTTTGCTGCTGATGAATCCTCCCATAGATTTTAATTTCAGATTCTTTGACTTTGAACGCCCCTCTAATAATGTCTCTAGTAGAAGCGCCTTAAACCTGCATTATTTATGATTGCCAGCAGAGGTTGAACCCCCTGATTGGTTAGTATCTTAGAAAACCTCCCCTCTGCCCCCTGTCATAAGAGCCCAATAAATAATCTCCTGATGGGTTAATGGGTCTTTATCATCATTTTTGTGTCTTATTTAATTCCAGTGTGATGTTTAGTTCGTGAATTATGGCCCAAATTGGAGTGAAGTAGGTGATAAATTATGTTATGGTTTAGGGCAAGGCTCCCTTGTTATTGGCAAGTCTCTACTACATGAGCAGGAAGTGTCAATGAGCATCTCAGTCAGATCCACCCTTTAGAAAGCACGTTAGGCACAAAGCATCAAGATGGTGTTCAAATTCCTCAGCTCGAGGTCTTAAGACAGGACTTCACTAACCTACACCTGACACCACGGGAAATATAATCAAATTCACTTAGTTATAGGAGTTTATAGTTTAAGCACTTTTTGCTGGACATGAGGACGATTAGACAAAAAAAGGAGATTTTACAACACATTTTCTCTTTTTTTCCCCCTTTTTAAATTTCTAATAAAATCCAGAGAAAAGAAATCCCCACAATGCCAAGAATACAACAAGACATTTACAAGCTGTTACACATGCCCAAAACTCACTAATGCTCTCGATGAGACCAGACTTGTAATTGTAGAACAGACCTAATGTCTTAAAATAAAGTCAAGTAAGAAATAAATAAGGGATGGCAGCACAAATAAGTCCAATGAAAAGTCAGAATAATTAATGGTCAGATCAATATTAATAGGCTTAGCTGCCAGTGTGTAATTATGGGTCCATAAATGTTTTATGGTCATTAATTAAAAGTGACTTTGGCATCGTTATCTAGGCCATGACTGCCTTCCCATAAACAAGCCAATACTAATTAATGGAACAGCTCACATGCTGGGGGAAACCAGCAGCAAATCAGACATCTAATATAGGTTTCTTGGTGCTTCTCTCAAGCGTAATTATGGCTGAAAACACACAATCTGAAGGGAGACAGCTAAGAGCACAGTGACAGAAGAACGAGAGGTGGGTGAAGCAAAACACTAACACTCCATCTATTTTCTACTCTTACTTCAGTCCAGTGATACAGTTTTTCATGCCACTCTCTTTCATTTTAAATCTGAAAATGTAGGGGGGGGACTGAAATCCATCTGTCCCTGTTTTGGTTTCTTAAAATCTCCCTGTAGATGAGGTTCATATGTCAGGCAGCTCATTCTCATTTCTTGTTCTTTCGTCAGTGAAGCCTTTCGTCTCCACGTTCACTCTCTCTAACGTTTCTCCATTTTAAGGACACAAAGACGGGTAAACGAATGAACATGTGAAGGGCTTTAAAAAGCTTGCCCTGCTAAATCTAGCACTCACTGAAACATCTTAAACTTGGCAAAATCACAGAGAACATCACATCACATGGGGCAGTTTTCTGAAGTTTCCCATTCCAATCTTTGCTCATACCAACAAAGATTGCCTCAAAACTGAGATTGTAGTGAAGTCTAGCATAATGGCATCTTGATGTGTTTATCACAGAGTTTGCTTGCCCTCATTCACCAGATAAGAGATGATATGATCAGTACGAGACGGACTTTTTCTAAACCTTTTACCCTTTTCGTCTTTCATCCCATCCTCTTTGAATAAATAGGCATGGAGGGAAAAAAAGATTTTGGAGGAGTAAGAACACAGAGCATTGTGACTATAGTAAAGGCAGAGAAAGTACCACAGAGACGACGTGAATGCCAGCAAAAGAAGAAAGCAGGCAGACAAGAAACGGTGTGTGATAATCTTGTTGAGGAAACAGGCTTATGTGTCCAGCACTGCCTGGAAACGGAGAATATTTTCTACAGGGAGGATTTGGATTGGATTATCCAGGTTAAACGAAGTGACCTCAGCTAACTGAGCCGCTCAACATGTGATGATGGGCCTAATTCAGAGTCTCTGCACCTGCACTGTTTCCAATTCATGAATGTATCACAGACTGAGCCCCTCAACAGGTTTAAAGTGAGAACAGGCCAGCACAGAGCACCCAGGGCTTTGAGAAGACATGAACGCTTAACTGAAACCAACTGGGGGGGGGGGGGGGGACGACAAAAAAAACCCCTGTTTGTTCTTAATATCTGTCTCCTATTTTTCTCATCTCGCTTCTTCACATTGGCACTCTAGTCAAATCTAAAAAGTAAATAAAAAGTCCCCGGGAAAAAGACGCCCAAAATGTCCTATCT